CAGGTGCCGGAGTCCAAACGCTATATCCAACGTTCGCGACTCAGGTGATCATTCAACTCGCGTTATCACACATGTTCTCGGCGCTCTCAGGTCAAGATCTGACATACGATTCTCAAAGGGGGCCTTGTTCAACGGAAGCAAATACCACATTCCCTTTTGAGTGCTACTGCAGTAGGTAGGTCTGTTCCAGCATGAGGAATATCACGTTGACGGCTTGATCTCTATGCTCAATACAGCCTTGGACGGAGACTGGAGATCTTCTGGAGATCTGGCGATCGCCCTAAGTACTAGCCAGTGCTGGCGTAGCCGAGACGACCAACCGGCCGTAACAAGCTTGTACTACACGATCAATTAGCACTATCAATCATGTATCATGATAGTAGCTTCATATTTCCATCTCTTTCTTTCTCCTTGTAATCCGGACCTTTGCGATTTCGTCCGCACGACGGTGCCACAACTGATCAGGTGTGTCAAATCTAAAAAACGGAGTCTCGAGAGCGTGGATATTAGGCATAGTTGAGACGGAAATAAATCCAACGCCATAGTTCGCTGCACAGTTATAACTAGGCAATCGTCCAGACCATAACATAGTTCTATTTGTAGCGCAACACGCCTTCAGGTTGTTAATCCGTCACATAACCAATCGCCTCGTTGAGCCTCACGAGAGCACCATCCTTCACCGTGTCCTCGAACCGTATCTTGGTCTCGGGACGGAATATCAAACAGTGAGTTGATCCACCAAAGTGGAACATCCCCAGCTGACTACCTTGCTTCACATGTGCCCCCACCTGCACGGTGGTTTCGCAGGTCGATACCTCCGCCATGCCTACCGCCATGAAGCACATCAGACCGATCTTGGGGTTGTCCGCATGAATGTAGATGTTAGTCCGGTTGGCCACAGCAGTAAGGTACCCTTGCGAGGCGTTGCGGCAGGCGGGGTCCATCGGCATAGTTGGGGACTCAGAGTAGTAGGTGCCCGGAACCACCTGTATCTCCACTATCGTACCGCTGACGGGGGCGTGCCAGCGGTGATAGAGCAGTGCGCTGAGGAACGCTTGGTATACTGTGCCACCGACAAAGCGGGGAGTGAATGGATGGTTAGCCAACATGTCCCTAAGAGAGTAAGAGGTCTCTTTGAGCCAAAAGAGGTCTTGATCCTTCACCTCGGAGATGCAATGATAGACGAAGGACTCGCAGCCACTGACGATAACGTCGGGGTTATGAGGATCCTGGATGGGTCGTCTCCCAGGCCGGAATTGCCTGGTGAAGAAAGCATCCCAAGAGGTAAAGCCATAGTGGGCTTTAGAGGGATAACAAATGAAATTCTTCTCGAAATCTGGCATGGATGCCAACGCCTCGGGGCTAAACCAGCCGCCGGGGGTGGTGCAGAGGACGGAGCATGAAGCCGGCGAGGAGAGGTACTCCCCCCATGTATTGAGGATGTTACGAATTTGCGCGTTGACGCTGTCAAGGTAAAACGCAGTGAAGCCACTGGGGGTTCCCGTTGACCAGTCGAGTACTGCGTTGATTGGAAAGCCTACGAATTCATATTCGCTGAACTCGGGCGCCTCGGTGATGAACAAGTTGATCAACTTGAGCATCGTTTTGTAATCGCGAACCTGTTCAGAATATAGGCATCGGTGGGGAATGGCGGAGCAATGAGCCTACCTGAAATTGTTTTGTTGGTCCCTTATCGTATGGGGCGGACGTCGGGACCTGCGCAAACATCTGCTGGAATAACTTGAGAATAGTTGGATCATTTTCAATGAAGGCTTGAAATCCTTGCACGACAGACGAAAGCTTGAGGGGCTCGGATCGAGGGGCGTTAATTTGCTGAATCTTCTTGGAGAGCCATCGGTCGAGTGCGTCCTGATCGCGGGGCAGCCACCCTGCTTCCCGAGTACAACGCATCTCTTTAAATTCTTGTCTGATATATATACTAACTGTGATGCTCTAAGACATTAACTTTCGGTCATTCAGTAGCTGGCCTGTGTTAGAAAGGAATTACTTTACCTGGCTAGATATCAGATAGTATGGTTTATTGCCGCGTGTCCTGATATCAGAGTTAAATTCGTGGAGATTGTCGTGGGATATGTATCCTGTCAAAATACTGCATGCGCATCGTGCCTTGAAGGCAAAGTCTTTCGACATGAGCTCCCAAGCTGGGGATAGTAATTATCAAACACATTTATATTTAGCGCCTAGCGTGCCAGTAAAAGCTTAGGAAAAGAATATTCGTGAGATCATCACGTCAACACTAGGACTAGCCGTGGATCATGGATTTGAAGCCCATAGCCCAGGCGGAGAAATCCCAAAAGAAGGCTGAGGGATCCCAAATTTGCTGCAGGAAAAATGCGCACACTGGGCAGAGGGCTCATTTGGCACATGATGAAGGTGTGTCCAAAAAATGCCGGTTGGGGAAGGGCGTGCGGCGTTAGAACCTCGTCTTCGAACATCATTTTCAAATGTGTAGGGCGTTATTGAGAAGAGAGTTCCAGGTACTTCGACTGCCGAGGGGTGGGGTAGGGAGAGGACGTATGTACGTAGCCACAGAAACATGATACATTGGCTAGATGGCGCGCACGAAGATTGTTGTCAGGTCCAAGTTACGTCAAGCAGAACGAATGAATGCCAATCTTTATACCTTTTTCATTTTTTGTATCGTTATGGGAGAGCCTAGCACAGTGGTTGCTACCGATGAGGAGTACTGTGCAATGGGTGACTTGAAGGTGCTACACGTTCGCCAACTTAGGCGACTCCCACATCCTCGCAGCCACCTGGACGGTGGGCTGCAACATCCTACTCACCGCCGCCAAGACCCGCGACCACCACGGCTTGGCCAACCCCGCTTACACTACCATGGTCGTCAGAGCACTGAACGACCTACCAGCTTTCAACTCCCAGGGCGCCACCGTCATCCCATACCGGCCGGCGTCCCGCCTCCAAATCAAGGGCCTCCCAACCTGGGACCCCGCCTCAAACCGCCCCGTCGAGTTGACTTCGGTCTTCAACACACTCGACGGCCTCGGCATCTTCGAAGGTGTCGAGCTCATCAAGAACGGTCCTGCCCCCAGCGACGCTCTGTCCTGGGCCCGGGACCCCAAAACCTTCAACGCCGAATCGCGCCCATGCGCGGTTACGGTACGGTTCTACAACAACGACGGTCGAGAAACCGGGGGCCTACTCAAGAAGGCCTTTTACCTTCTCGGCCGTCGTCGCCGCTTCGACAAGTGGCAACCCCGTCCCCCGCCCCCTAAAAAGGGCTAAGTTCCATTTTCTCTTCTATTTAGGCCGAGCCCCCTCCCTGGTCGAACAGCGGCATCAAGTCGAAGGCCCGACCCCCATCGTATCAAGTTGCTTTTCTTGCGACCCCCGCCGCTGCATATAGGGCGCTTTTTTAGGACTTTTACGATTGTACACTTACTTTTCTTTTTCAGTCTCTTTTCTTTTTCTTTACGTTCCGGATCCCAGCCCTAACAAGGGCATCAATCTATTACAGGGCCAGGTATTAAGCACACCTCTCCCCCATACCCCTCACCATTTACATATTTTACCCAACCAAAGCTTCTTGCGGCGGACCCCATACATACTCTTATCTACAGCGCCCGTAGTCCACGTGTACTTAAATGCGCTATATAAACTGGTTTAAAAAAAAAAAAAAAAAAAAAAGGTGCTACACGTGTTGGCGTCCGAAACGTTATCCGAGGGCCCGGTCCGGGTATGGACATGCAGTGGCTAAGTCGGAGCTCGGAACTTGGAACATATGACAACCACACCAACAGAAAATACGAATAAACGGCCCCCAGGCGGTATAGACCTTTACAAGGAACACGCCTTTATCAAGGTATTCAAAATTCACATATCTCTTCAGTTTTCACCTTTGATCTCAGATCTAACGCAATTAACAGAACAAACGAGCTAAATTCAGCAGCAATGCCCCCTTCACACCGACCTATGTGACTTCCCTACTGACGCAGACAGCGGACCCCACGGGGATGTACGCAAGTCGCATACAGGGCCGAAAGATGCTCCTCGACAACCCCGCGCGAGAAAGCAGTGCAAAGAAGGAAGTAGACGAGAAACGCGCACGGCAGAAGGCACAAAAGGAGAGGAAGAGGAATGGGAAGATCGGGAAACGGGAGGCTAAGGAGAAAGGATTATGGCGCTTTGATAAAACTCAAGCGAAGTGAGTGTATTATCCAGCTTTTTCCGGTGTCTGAAGTTTACTAACCGTTCTGGTGTGTCAGATTTAACCTCTTTATTCCTCTACACCATCTCTGGATGGGCTACATGTCAGAACTTCTTGGGCTTGTCCAACCCCCAGCCTCTGGTTCCCCGTCCGCTCAAGCGATGCCGGCTTCCTCAAGTATGCACCCTAAACTGGTGAAGGCAGATTTTCATGGCTCGATAATAACTGGTGCGCCTCGGTCTCTAAATGAATCTGCCCTCATGATAGCTAAAATCGTGAGCAGTACGCCAGAGCAAACACCCGTGTCTCGTTGGTCTCTCCGGGATTGTGATACACGAAACAGAGAACGCGTTCAAAATCGTCACCCGCAAAGACAAAGTCAAGCGTGCGCTTATCCTTGCTATCCCACTTATATCATCTCTCATTGAGGCCTTTGCTATTATGCAGTCATTCCGAAAGAAAATTCAATTTTCGCCTTTGCAGTCCCACTTTACTCCACCCTCCCACCAACATATACAGAGGTCCAACCGCTTCCTCTCCCAGACCCAATAACTACTGCAAGACAGAAGACCGTTCTGGAGGACCCGCACATAGAGTTTGAGCTGCACGGTAATCAGTTTCGCTTCCGCTCTGCAGATCGGGCGGGGCGAAAGTTTAAACATAAGGAGACAATTGAATTATGAGGGATGTTTATGCTTCTTATAAGTGTCCCATGCTATCGTGAGTTATCCTATGGTTGCCATTGGGTTTCCTTCACCTCGAAAATCACTGTCGAGCACGGTGCGATAATTTCGTTTTAAAATTTTGTAAAAGGCACTACCAGGGATCGAACCTGGGTTTCGAGAACTCTCTTCAGAATCTCGAGTGATAGCCACTACACTATAGCGCCTTGAAGCCAATTTGCATTCTAGCGAGTCTAGAGTGCGAAGTCCTCGGCGCGCATAGTAGATCCGGGTCAATCACTGGAGTGACTGTAATCACAGAGATCATGGTTTCTACTCCAGCATTTTGCCCCCATTCCTAGATTGAATTTCACCAGCGACGTGTATTTGTGTCCAGACTACCGCTTTTCTATAGACAAGATCGTCTTTTTGACCGGTACGACTGGCAGACTCGGAGCCAGTAACTAGTAGTAATTAGCACATGCCAGCCGCCATAAATTCCTTGTTTTATTTCTAAAAAAGGTGAACTCAGATGATGTATCATTAGGTTGAAGTCGTTCAACAAAGATTGACGGACGCCATCAGTCATTCCCCTATTCTAGACAAGGGTGACAGTTCTCGCAGGCCCTGCTGAAGCGTCAGAAGATTACTTGAGTAGAAATTGACTTGGCTACTTGTTGTTTTTATCCTAGGTACAGAAAATCTATAAATAGATCTTGTCACCACTGGAATCCATCCCCTAGTAAAATCATTATACGGGGTGCTATGAAAGTTGAAGAGAAAAATTATTTCAATCAGTTTCTCCAGACGAGTGAACAGGGCTTTCACTGTTAAAAGTATGAAAGTGATAGTCAGAGTCAGTCAGTCGGGATCAATCAAGGATCAATATGAAAACAATACAAAATCCCAGAGTGTATACAAAGGTCGTCACTGACTTTCCTTACTACTATCATGACCGACCTCACCGTTCTCATATCCCCGGTGCCTCTACACCCCTCTGTAAAGCCAACCTTTACGTTTGGCAGGCGAACGTCTGGCCCGGTCAGCCGCCCAATAATGGTCACACTTGAAACAGAGAAAGAGCCAGAGGAAGAGGCTGACGATCCAACACTTGACCCCACTTCACCTGCCTATATTCCGCGGTCTTCTAGGCTTGACTCGTCATTGCTTTCCCCACCACTTAATACGTGGAAGTCTAGGCCACGGCCACGGCATCGCCCTACACGGTCACAGAGCGCACCACCAGAGAGGAAGTCCCGCAAGGAGGAGGAGGAGGAGGAGGATAAACCTAGTGCAGAAAAACCCGTGGAACTCACGCCCATCGAATTTGCGCAGCCAGCACCAAGGAAGAGCCTCTCGGAAATTCCATCGAATCCGAGCACACGAGGAGGTGAACTGATACGTCCGCCCCCGCCGTTACGTGAGTTTTGAAGTAGACCGCTACCTAATGACTTTTTCTTACGTGCTACTTAGTCCGCCCCACTACATTTTGGCGCAAAACGCGAAGATCAGGCGTATCTGGACCCTCATACTCCCCATCATCGCACCTTATCCGCCGATCGACGTTCATTGCGGCTGGGCTCTCGTTCGACGCGCCTGTACACGACCTCAGTGCCCTGTGTGTTGAGAGCCGAATCGGTTTCATAGTAGTCCCCCCTGAGCAGAAGCTGCAATAGAAGACGATGCGCGGCGGTTGTTTATTTTTCTTGGGTGGTGTTGTAGGTTCTTGTATGGCAGAGTCAGCTGCTGCGATATGGGCCAGGGATACGGATGAATCTACCGTGGAGTTTAGGACGCGTCATAAGTGGGACATTAATTATCGGGACGTGGGCAATCCTATTGTGGATTTATTGCAAACTACAAGCATCAATTGGTGGCCGTACCCTCCAGATGGTGGGCCCGCATCTCGCCCTCCACCCACGACAAGCACGCCGCTTCTCGTCATCTCGGTCGCGCCAACCTCCCAACCACCTGTACAGCCTCCTCCTACCAGCACAGTTGTCACGACCAGCTCCAATAGTACGACCAACACAACCCCATCAACAGGTATAATCACCATCACTGCACTACCTCCCCTCGATCCGACGGAGGTGCCCACACCCATCGTCCAGCCCAAGAAGAGTCCCCGACCCGAAGAGCAAAAATTCAGACTAATTTACCTCGCGCCCGTTTTCGTGATCCTGGGCATTCTTTGGGGGAGCATCACCGCATGGTTCGCATATGGCTGCGTGACTCGGCGACCCAAGGTCCGCTCAGACGATGAACTTATTGGGGGTCCACAATATATTCCCGCGCGGCCCAGAGACAGAGACTGTGATGTGGAAAATGAGGGTGCGCTCTTGCGCGACAAGATGCACGAGGCGGTGTTTTCGTGGCCCGATCTTAGGGAGAAGGCAATGGAAGCGAGGTATCAAGAGGAAGGGGACACGTTCTTGGAGCCGCCCCCGCCGCCATCACCTTCTAAGTCTAGATCGACGCGCACCAAGTCGGCGCGTTCAACAGTGACCACATATTCGGACGCCACATACCTTCAATACACAGACGATGACGACATTCCCTGGGAGAGTCTCCGGCACAAGAGTATCAAGCGCGGTATTTTGGAGGAGGTGCACAAGGAAGGGACGCGGATTGACGCTCTCCGACCTGTGTCTGGGACCCTCCTGCGCAACACCGGTACTCCATCCAAAGCCAAGGCAGTGGAGCGAAAGGTATCAAGACATGCGCGTACCGACTCGGATGTACTGGTTAGCGAAGTCAGCCTCCCGATCCCAGAGCGCACGGGCACGGACAGCACCAATAGCAGCCGCGGTAGTGGGGTGGACAAGACGCAGTGGCAGCCAGGTGTAGGGTTCCGCATCGTAGATGAGTCGCCTGGGCCCTCCCGAGAGCCGACGCCGGCACCACCAGAGGAAGCACACGCCGCGAACTCGTTTGGGATGTGCTGGTGGGGTGCCAAGGACGTCGACCGGTACACACCGCTCCCCACCCGTCACTCAAGCCGCAGCCGCAGCTCCAGCCCCACAAAGCCAACAACACCCGGTGCGGGGCCGGTCGTTTCGCGGAGCCATCGTGAGCTACTTCCACAAAGCCCGCCACAGATCACTAGTCCCCTGCTCGAGAAGGAACTATGCTTCACGCCGACACCGGGGAGGATGCTGGTAGCGACAAACACGCCGGCGCCTACGCCAGTGAAGGCTCGCGAGAAAAACCGAGGACGCAAGCTACGTTCGCCCAGCATGCCGACATTGCCTTTCCCTGTGAACCAAGGTGGTGTTAACTCGCCCCGGCCTGATATGTACCGCGGGAAGTTGGTGAAGTCGCCTGCCAAGCGTCCCCCAATCGCTGCGAAGAGCGTGTCGGCCGAGTCTAGGGCGTCATATACACGAGATGCGGAGGGGAGAGCGGTGATGCAGAAGGTGGAGGATATTGTGCAGCGTGGCTGGGGCACTAGTGATCTTGGCGAGGAGGGAGTGCGGTGCCTTAGCCCCACTGGTTTTGGTAAGAGGGCTGCATAGGGTTGAAACGTTCAACGATCTTTCATGACACTCTTTTGGACTCTTTTGGTGATCGTCTCTGCATATTGAACTCTTAGCATAGTAGTACCATATTATCGTAACCTTATTCTTCACAATATTATAGAATGTTGCTCATGCAAAAAGGGATGCAGTGGGAATGGACGAAATCGTGGAAGGCTTGATAAGATTGAAGATAAGATTAAGACTTGGATCAAGGCTGACAAAATATCTCTCTGCCTGGGAGTCGAACCCAGCTTTCGCGCGCACGGTTAAGCCATGACAGGCGCGTGTACTAACCGATATACTAGCAAAGATCTTGAATAGCCTTCATGGGATTGGATCTAATGGTGATTATATACTTGACTGTTATAGAGTAAAAGAAAGCGCAGTAGATACAGAGAGGAAAATTTGATCCCAAGCGGTTAAATGATGTCCTAAAGTTAATGTGGCCATAAGTTTAGGTACTCGTCGAGTTATGGGCATGTTTGACGGTTACTTGGTCATCATATGCTACGGTGTGGCGCTAACACTTGGCCGCGAGCAAATTATAATTAGGGTGGTGCGGAATTCAAAAGCATTATCTTGCTCCTCTATAGACAAAAAGAAAGCACAGCATGGTATCCGGTAGCTCATCAGAAAGCGTCAGAAAATGTTTGTTCATCATATGGAATAGCCTGATCTTGATTTGTGAATTATGATGTCGTTTGTGATTTTGATAGTCAAGACTGAAACTTGATGATAAAAGGGACGATCTTTTTTAGCAATATAAGTGAGAAGAGAGTCCCAGAGGTTCCACAAAAGCTGGTCTTCCTCAAAAATGCGCATCTCATCTCTTATCACCATGACTGTCTCGATCACCGCCCCCACCATCCTCGCACTCCCACATCGTCGTTCTTTCTCGACTAATATTATATCGCATGGGATAGAGAGACGTGGAACTGGGAAGCCATCACTCAGCCTAGAGGTTCAAAATCTTCCAACGAAGTGCGTTAACAGTCGTTTACTGTCGGTGGTACTGCTAACACTAGTATATTCAGTGAATGTAATACCAAGAGCTACAAGGCCATACCCAGTATTACAGGAAATGACTGCGCGCGTAAAAACGGAGTTGCCTTCGAGGTTAACCGTACATGTTACCTGGGAGCGGACATGGGCACCATGCAAAATTGGAAGGGTACTTGCTACGTCCGTAAATGAACATGAATTTTTTTTTTGATATTTAGTGCATATTATAAACGAGTACGTACTTATGGGTAATTTTGGCGGGGTAGCCATCTGGGTAACACCACTCCTGAAATCCTCAGCACTTTGTGTAATAACATGGTGTGTTGGGGTAAATCTAAATTCCCGTTGAGTGTTGAATATAGCTTTTATTGATGTATGATCGACTTTTTTCTCTCCCCTCCATAACGGAGGAGCACCTATTGCCATTCCAATAGAGAGCGTCAGGGTAGCCGCTGCTACTATGTCTAAGAATCTTTCAAAGTGTGGTTTTGAGGTTAGAAACGCACCAATTCAAACCATCGCTTGATCTTGGCAGACCAAGGTAACTTGACCGGCTCGAGTCCGTTCTGATTAGCCTCGATCTTCAGCTTGTTCTTTTTTATCCTTTGGTACACATCTAAGTCATCTCCCCCTTCCTGAACCTGGTCAGCTGAACTACTCCTGAGAACTAATTTGACAATGTCGAGGGCAGTTTGTTCTAGGGGATC